GCCGGCCATAAACTTTTAGGGTCCTCCCATGTGTGTACATCACAAATATGTGGTTCAAAGTTCAAGAAAAAGGGCCCAGGTTGTTCAACATTGGCTCAGAAGTGCAAAAAACGGGCGCCGGAGGGCGAAAATAGAATATAACTGGTTGCCAAGATAATTGCTGGCCTCCCACCCTCCAGTGACCTTCCTGGTGATGAAACAGAGGCACCTGCCAAAAATGAACGAAAAGCAATGCAAAACGAATGCTCGGGGGCCAAAACACGCAGTTCGGGGTCCCGAAAATGGGCTGCCAAGCACCGAAAGTGGCGTTCGGCCACGAAGTGGGTTTCTCAGGCCCCAGTGTCCCTTGAAAGGGAGAAAATAAGATGTATGCCAAAATTTAGAGTAAACGGAGATGGTTAAGCGGTCCCGAACCGAGGCACACGGCCTGACGGCTCCGAAAACCGGAAATCGGACTCCGAAATGGGAAAAATGGCCTACGGCCACAAAATGTAGCCTACGGACATTGAGAGATGGTCTACGGGACCTCTCCCTTCCCTCAGGAAAAGAATCCGAGAAAATCGAGCCTGGTTCGCAAACCGAGGCAAGGCACAGAAGAGGGTTCGGAAGTCCGGAGGCAGGCTCGCAGCCGCGACTCTGAGACTTCTGAACAAGCACAACATGCAATATCACCAAGTGCTCAACTGGCGACGTCTGAGTCTTAAGGTCGGTCAAAAATGGGGTGTCTACACACCTGAATTGGCACAATTTGCTTTCCAAAATCTCGGTACTACTATCTCGGCATGAAACTAGCATCTCGGCTTACCGAAATCCACATCTGAACCTACCACAGGATTCACATCGGCTCAAAGAGTCCAAACCCACCAACCCGAGGAACCAGAAGTAACCAAAGCCCGTCGAATGTTGCGAAATGAATCACATGTGCCGAAAATCAAAATTTACGAAGCTGTCAAAATCAAATTTTGGTTATACCATCGTGAAGTACTCATTGAGACGAGTCCAACGCAACAAACCGTATCTTAATCGGAGCTAAAACGAAGCCATAAGAGCTAATAGAAGTTTTCCCAGAAAATCATCTATCGTTACTGGAGAAGACAACCTGGAGTTGGCCAACATAACAAATTATTCGGTGGATTGCGGCTAAGTTACATCTCATAATAGCCAAACAATTAAGTTTAAATATATAATGTGCAAAATACGAGCATAAGTCTTTGTCTTGGTGCAGTGGTTCAGTGTTCTTTCTCTCCTAAAGCAGGGGTTCGAGTCTTGTTGACCCCATTTATCTGTATTTTTTATTTTTGCCAAGCCATGAGGGAAATTATCCAGAGATTTGCGGAGCAAAAGTCTTAATCGATCTAAGCCATTAGATCTATTTTGGCTATAATTACGCCATCAGGAGTCTGATCACAGCAATCCAATAGTCCTTTCCAGCTATCTGACGCATTCCGAGGCCATCCGTATAGTCAGAATTTGCAAATTCAACACAAAATAAATATATACATATATATTAAATAAATAAATAAATAATCAAATAAATTACAGATTTGATTCCGATATCACCAAGCACCTTACTTTGTCTCGGCTTCATTCTGATATCGCCACGGCACCACACAGGGGCACAGAATCCGTTTCAATTCATTATCGGCCTACTCGGCAATTTTGGCCCAAGTCAATTTTATTCCTTCCGAATAACAAATCTTATTCAAAAGCAATGGGGCAAATATACGTTGGACAAGAAGCTCAACTCCACTAAATTGGCAACCACTGCTGACCAAGTTCTTAGCAAACCTAACCCCGAAGGAATGCCAACACGTCGCCGACCAAACGATTGGCACAATTGCCGACCCAAGTGTAAACGGACACCGATGTTTTGACACTAGTTACTCGACAGTGCATCAACTATACCCAGCAAGATTATTCGACCATTATTAAATTCAATATTATGCATGATCATTATTCGGCCGTGCATCAACTCTATTCGGCTAAGCAACATTATTTGTCAACTTTATGCGTCGTCAAACTTTATGCAGCAACATTGGCCACAGTATTCGGCAACTTTATTCACCTAACAACATTATTTGGTAAAACATTTGCCCACTGGGACATCAGTCAATTTTTCGCTTTCCAATTGGGGCACATCAGCCGATCATCATCTTAGCACCTTTGATATGCATGAATACTCGGCAAACTTGGTACAAACATTACAAGGACGATTACTTGAGTTACAAACTTCCGCTCCTTTTCACACAGCTTCAAGCAAGCGCCCGTTTTGAGGCAATACATTACACACTTGGCAGACAGCAGTTTCCATATTTTTGCGCACCGTCATTTTACCAAAGCCGAACCTTCCCTGCAACATAGGGCAATGGGAATCTACATTCCTTCTGACTAACACCTGGCATTCGAAAGCAATGAGGCAAGTCTACCTTGGACTAAATGCAAACCGAGCAACTCAGCAATTAAATAGTTGGCCCAATATCTACTTGGCAATTCCATATAAACGGAGCAATATTATTGGTGATTAACGCGTCCACCTTATTCGATACAGGATACATTATTCAAAGTCCTTACCATTTTGGCATTTAGTTGCCACTTAAAATCAGCAAAAGTCTCCGAGTACAGCGCAATCTTCGCACTCGACACAGAGCGCTGTTAGCAAAGGCCTACACCCTTGCCCGGGGTTATAATACCACAGGTCTACACCCTTACCCGGGGCTAATAATATTGTGGTCCAATTTTTGACTGATATATCTACCTTATTTAATCTATCTTATTAGGTTCAGGTAATCATTTCCGTGTTTAGCCTATAGAAATATTTCTAACTTGGCATAAAAGTCCATATTTGGAAGCAATCTTTGCACTTGACAAAATACTGCACCCATGCCGGGGGTTATAATACCGTGGCCTACGCCCATGCCCGGGAGTTAGAATACTGCGGCCTACACCCATGCCCAGGGGTTAGAATACCGCAGCCTACACTCATGCCCGGGGGTTAGAATACCGCGGCCTATTGTTATGATTTATTTGTATTCCTTTCTGCGTTTTAGCTCAACCCCCTTCATCTTATGATCAACATATATGCATTTTTACATACATTCAAGACATACGTACATTTATACATACATTCAAACATACATGCAGTCATTCATTCACATATTTTATTCATTTATCCAAAGTGTTCTTTATCAAAAAACCTAACAGCTATTTGAACAACGTAACTTGAGAAGAAAAAACTCTCATTCCTTCTACCGCAGACAATGAAAGTTTTGGGGCAATTGTGGGAGCCAGAAAATTATAGGTATTAGCTTATTGGGCCTAACCCAAACAAAGCCTACAAAGGTCCAGCCCAAATAAATATCACACCCCCTCATCTATGCAAAGGGGGGGCATCCCAAGTGAAAGGTATGTCTGTTCTCCCAAGGACTAACTTTATCATCGGAGTACTCCTGGCCAGCAACCCCGGTTGGGTGGCACCGACTGTGTTCCTCATTGCAGATCTACAGGGGTGAAGCTCTTCTCTTCGCTGGATCTCTACAACATCCATGTGAGAGAATATTTCATGGTCTCACATTTTCCATCTCTTTCCTTAAAATTATCTTTCTTAAAAAAAAAAAGAAGTGTGCATATAAAATACAAACTTCTATACATGCAAAACAAATATCCATCAACCATCCTTACAAGTAGTTATACAAACTTCAAGTACTCAAAAATAAAAATAAAAAATAAATAAAAATCTCAATTTAGCTCTCAATATCACCCGCGGATCAATCAATTACTCCAACACTACTTGCAAAAATATACATAAATATTAAGTTTAACACTATAATATTAAATATGGAAAAAAATAATAACAATAATTTATCATCATCATCATCATCATTATGACTAGATTATATAGTTATTTGTTGTTTTAAAAAAAGAGTGTTTCAAAATCTCTGAATATTTTATGGAGCACTAACACACCTTTGTGAGGCATCATCATTTTCAGAGCCTGAAATGGCTTTTCCCTTTTCTGCCAAAACTATGTTCCTTGAATTTCATTTTGCCTTTCCTTTTGTCTCTGTATTTATATTTTCGACAGCTGCACCCTGATCCCAAAATAAAAATGGATACAATGAGCACATTAGTTGACTAACTTGGATGTCAAAACCTTTTCCAACAGGGGTACAAAGAGGTTCAGAATTGTTCTTAGAATGAATACCAGTTTGAAAAGAGTTAACAATCATTAATCATCTCACAGAAATATCACAGAAAAAATTACGAATCTGTACGGGAAAGAAATAAACCTTCTCGTATAATCCTGTTGATCAAGTCTGCGCTCCTCCGTATGTCGTCGCTTTATCACCTGAAAACATAAACGTGAGCTAGCCGGCGGGTGTGTGCCGGAAACCTCTCCGATGCCTAAGTCAGTAAACTTGACATATAGACAAAAGCTCTGTGAATTCAGAGAACAAAGTTGTGTTACCTCTCTAAAGGTGATGTTTGTGAGCTTTTATAGGTTTTGCGTGGCACAATCCTAGTAGGACTTCTACTCCTCCATGCAGAGTCCTCCTAGGATTCATACTCCTGAAACATAATGCTTATCCTTCAACACCCCTCTCACTGCTTAAACCAAGTGGGATGGTTATTACCATGGCCAAACTCCAATATGACTGAAGTAATCATGATCACGCCGAGCCACAGAGTAGACCGAACTATCGTTAGTTCGGTTCTACCTTCAGTGTTCTTACCCCAGTTCCTCCATTGTCAACAGTGTTAAGTCTAAACCGATCTAACTTCTAGCAAGGCTTTTAGACCGAACTAACCATACTGTGCCTTAACCGACATAAGTTCAACGCATCTTTAAACCGGTCTAACTACAAAGGGTCCTTCAACCGGACAAACATCAAGAGTAACTCGGACCGGTCTACCTTCTGGGCTTGAGATCAGGCTAACTTTAAGCCTCTTCAAGACCGGAGTAACTTTATGGCCTCTTTACTCAGCCCTTCGTACTGAGGCCCATAAAGGCCCAGCTCGGCCCAATTTCGCATATAAATTACCCTCTCAATTGCCCCTTAATTCCATCTGTGTAGCATGATAGGGATTACCTGTCTATAAACCGGGCTAAAGTTTTACATTTTCAACCGAGCTAAAAAAACCCTTTAGCCTTTCCAGCCGAGCTAAAACTCTCTCAGCCGAGCTAAACCTAAGCTGAGTTGTGTTTGTACGGTCACAACGTCCCTTCAATCACAGAAACTGAATCGATTCTTATCCCTATGACACGTGGCATGCTGATATTGGCTTATTGCAGCTGTCGCGTCGCCCTCGTACTCCGTAAAATTTGAACAGTTCCCGCCTTTTGTCCCTTCTCTTTCCACAAAACAACCCTTTCATCCTTTGAATCACCCTTATCGATCATTTTTACTGTTTCAAGCTCTTCTCTCTCTTCTTGCCTCCATTGTTCTTCAACCTCTGAGCTCGTGTTCTCCATTGCTGCTGCTTTCATCTCCAGTTCTTGCCTCTTCATCTGGTAAGCACTACACCTCTATCTTGCTTTCCTTGTTTTCGTACTTTGTTTTGTGTGTTTTTGCGAAACACATTTTTTCCATTTGCTTTGCTTCTTCTGAAAACACTATGTTAGAACCTCTGGTATTCATGAAATAACCTGTAGAACACTGCTTTTGATCCAAAATCACACATAACCAAATTAGTAAACTGTTTGTAGTTTGATGCCAGTGAGACCAGACTATACAATCGAACTAACACTCGCACCAGTAGTGTCAATAAGTTGAACCTCTTCTTGATAGACCTTAGCCGAGGTATCCAACCGAACTAAGTCTGCACTTAGCATACTAGGAAACCTTAATTTCGACCGATCTAGGTCTTTGGGGCTAAACCAGCTTTCTTAGTTTTTAGGCCGAACTCAGAAAGCTGCCCCTAGGCGCTCAACCGGTCTAACATTACCTACTAATTCATCCGAGCTATCAAGCACCTTGTTGAAACCGAGATAGAACCTGTAGCATCCACATAGCCGAAGTAGGACTCCTATTCTTGCTTTTATTTTGTAGCACGGTCCACTGATCTGTGCTTAACCCCTTTGTTTTCCACTTTGCAGACTTAGGTTGCCCAGGCACTCTACTACGCGCTCAACCGAGCTACTGAGCACAATTTTGCGACCGAACTAAATTATCCATAACTTAAAAAATAAATAGGGAAGTATAGGTTTTTAGTAAATACTCCGGGCGATCTAGCCGAATTCCGAAAAGATTACAATATACCTGACGACGTCCACCTAACCTTAGCCGAAAAAGATGTTATACCTTGGGAAAACCAGGGCTTTGTACCCTTTACCCTTCTTTCAATAATAGAAACCGGGCTAAGATTTCCAGTCCAACCCCTAATTTGTGAATTCCTTAGGCAAACCAGACTATGCCCAACCCAGCTTTCCACCAACTCCTACCGTATAATAATAGGTATAGCTGAACTAAACCGCCAAGCAGGCATCAACCTCGGTCTAGCTGAAATCTTCCACCAGTATTCCATAGGTTCGAAGGAAGACGGCTGGGTGTACTATCTTAGAATACATCGTCGACGTGAGAAAATAATAAAAAACACACCGGATAAAGACTTGAATGATGACGATTTTTTCTGGGTGTCTGGGAACTTTGAGGATCACCAGGCCCAGATTCCTGGCCGAAGTATTAATTGGAAAAAAGGAACACTTGGTATAATTACTTCGGTTCCCTTGTCTGCTTCGTTTTATTTCGGTTTCTTTTTCAACAGCCGAGCTAACAGTGTCTTTTTTCGCAGATTCAGCCCATCTTCAATCACTTTACAGCTACCCCAATCTAGGCACTCTCCGCGCCGCACTACGGTATCCAGAACGTAGTTGGGCCAAGCTGCTAAAGTTCGAATCGACCTATAGATACAACGATCGCCGAAAAGCCAGAGTGACTGACTTTTTGTTGGAAGACGCTCCTGAACCGGACCCCACCTTGCCACAAATTATCTTAGTCTCTCTGACAGCCGAACAAGAAATGGCAAAAAAGAACAGAGTCAGGGCCCTCCTGACCGAAACCACCAGACCCGAAGTTCCGCCACCAAGCCGAACTCAAGAGACCGTGATGGCCCTTCCTTCTCAACAGCCTTCTTCATAACGCCGAACTAAACGCGCCCGGACTACCCAGACCGAACAACGGTTAGTTGATGAAGATGAAACCACCCTCTTACCGAGCCACCCACCGAGTCCGCAACCAGAGCCATCTGACCGAGCTACCTCCAAGTGGGCACCGAAGCTCACTTATCAGAACTGAGATATTGAGGAAACTAATTCGGTGGTTGCCGAGAAGGATCACATACTAGCCTTCAACCTTGCCAAAAGTGTGTGCCTTCCAAAGGACATGGAGCACCACAATCAGCTAAACACCGAGCTGAAGGCCATCTGGTCTTCAACAAAATCCATGATCCTGGTAGGTAGCACTCTCTTTTGCTTTTGTACCTTTCTAATTCTTCCTACTTTCAGCTCGGCTAAAAAGGAAAGTTTCTATTCTATTGCAGGCCATTCAGAAGAACCACATTACACACAAGCGGGTGTTGGAGCTCAGGAGAACATCAAGGGAGGCCATGGCAGAGGCCGAAGCCAAAACCGCCGAGCTCAAACAAGAACAAGTGAGGACGGCCGAGCTCAAGGCCGAGGTGACTCGTCTGACTGGCCTAGTTGCTTCAGCCGATGCTGACAGACAGGGAGCCCTAACCGAGATGAAAGACAAGTATTTGCGGGAGATGGCGAAACTTGAGGGTGTTAAGGACGCCGAAATAAACGTTTTGAAGAAGAAAGCTGAAGATGCCGAGGTGAAGGGCTTCAAGGAAGGCGAAGCTGCATATATCCAGCAGTGTGAAGCTGCGAAGGACTTGTTCTTCAAGTGCGGCTGGAGGGGTGCCGTGGAGTAGCTCGGTTGCGGTCCCGACACCGAGGTCTTCAATGCTCCTCAGTATTTTATTCCGGCCACACTGGCAGAATATGCAGCCGACCTTCAGAAGCAATTCCTTGAAGCATCTGACGACAACGATGAAGAGAATGAGCCAACTGACACTCTGGTTGACAATGTTCCAGCTAACCAATCAGTTCGGACGGAGCCTGTGGTAGAAGATCTGACCATTGAGCAACTAGTTGAAACCGAGCTCCCAACTCAGATTGTTATTCCGTCTGAAACCGGACTCCGGGTTGATGTCGAGCTGGACGCCGAAATAGATGACCTTTTTAGCTAATTTTTTATTTTTTCTTTTTCTTCTTTTTGCTTTGACTTGTAACCGGGCTGGGAGCCCTTTCCTTGTAATTGCTCTGAACTTTGATCAATGAAAATCATCTTTTTTTGTGCTAACTGTTATTCCGATTTGATCTGTATGTTTGTGCCTGTAATGACTTTTTAAAGACTTCTATTGCTCCAACTGTAATCTTGGTTTACTTTCCTGTTTGAGCATGCTTTCTAACTGTAACTTGAAGCATACTATTTTTTGGCCGAGATACTTTATTTCGGTCTTACCTGTGCCAACTGGCTGACCTTACTAGCCAACCACTCTTTAGCCGATATGCGTACTTCGGCTGAAGAGTACCAAGAGTGGTTTAATCCAGTCAACCATTCTTCAGCCTATACCCTTATTTCGGCTGAAGAGTAATAAAAGTTTGTTTAATCCAGCCAACCACTCTTTAGCCGATGCCCTTACTTCGGCTAAAGAGTATCAAGAGTTGGTTTAATCCAGCCAACCTCTCTTTAGCCGATGCCCTTACTTCGGCTAAAGAGTATCAAGAGTTGGTTTAATCCAGCCAACCACTCTTTTAGCCAATGTCCTAACGTCAGCTAAAGAGTACTAAGAGTTGGTTTAATCCAGCTAACCACTCTTTTAGCCGATGTCCATACGTCGGCTAAAGAGTACTAAGAGTTGGTTTAATCCAGCCAACCACTCTTTAGCCGATGCCCTTACTTCGGCTAAAGAGTATCAAGAGTTGGTTTAATCCAGCCAACCACTCTTTTAGCCGATGTCCTTACATTGGCTAAAGAGTACTAAGAGTTGGTTTAATCCAGCTAACCACTCTTTTAGCCGATGTCCT